AGCAAGAGTGCCTCTGAGCATGCACAGCAGGGCCTCCTTTGAACCAAGGACGACACGAGGTGCTCTTTAAGCCGATTCAAGGCATGCCATGGTACTATCGCTCCTTTGCTACCTGCCGGGCAAGGCCCCCGACGGGGCTCAGACGCTCTCCTTCTCCCCATTTGATCTTCAGCGGCCCCGGGTTCGAGAGCCGGGGACCACCCAAAATCCCCAGAGAGCGTCATGACCAAGTGGGGACGAGACGTCCGGCCCCGCCAACGCCCACCCAGCCCGAGCCACTGCACCACACGGCCGGCACCTTCCCTCACGGAGCGCCGAGCACGGTGGGAAGGCGAGACGGGACGGGCCGCGTCTCTGAGCGCGCCTCGCAGGCTTGCTCTTGCCCCAGGGACCGGCCTGCGAGGACAGGACGGCGCGATGTGGGTCACTGCAGCTGGCTGGGACAAAGCCAGGATTTTCACAGGGGCTCCGGGGACGGAGGGCGCGCCACAGCTCGTCCCGCCAGAGGCGCCCTTTGGCGAGGCAAAGCCGTGGCCGCAGCGGCAACAGCAGCTGAACCGGGCCTGGGAATTGCCCAGGGGCCTCCCGCGGGCGTCTCCGCACCAGAGACGGTGCACACAGATGGGGTGGGAGGGGACGCCAGCGCCAGCCCCGGCCGGCCTTTGTCTGGAGCGCTCGCAGCCCTCCGCCTGGGAAAGTCACATCCGCAGAGTTTCGGTGCCAGACACGGCCCGGCTGCCCGTCCCGCCCCGCTCGCCCAAAGCACGGCCATCTGCTCCCCCCAGCGCTCAGCAGATGCAGCCGGCTCCTGCCGCCACATCCCGATCCACCTGAAGCAGATTAGGGCCCGCTCGGCTGGGGAGGGCCAGGGCAAAGTTGGGCCAGGGCCGGTGGGAAGGGGCTGCCCCGGGAAAGAGACCGTGCTCGCTGCCGCACGCAGAGGGCCCTGCCCGGCCTGCAAGCAGCGCCCAGGCCGTCCGTGGGGCAGGAGGGATGGGCCCGCTGCCGCCGGGCGCCCTCGCACACTCCTCTGCCGCTGCCACGGCGCTGGACGGCATCTTTCTTGTGACAGCCGGCAGACACTGAGCCGCCCCTTGCGGGGGTGCCTGCCACGCAGCGGCCCTGACTGAATTTCAGCCCCTTTGTCTGCAAAGCCAAAGAGCCCTTGCCTGGGCGTGGGTCCCGGAAGAATGTAGTCTTAGCCTTTCCCTCCAACCGCTGTGGAAATGGGCTACCCCAGAGCGAAGCCGCAAAGCGCGGGGAGGGAGGAGAGGAGGACGATGCTGGCGGGAGAGCTCCATGGCAACCTCCTGCGCACGACTCCCGTTTGTGCTACTAATTGGCCAAGCTAATTGCCCCAGTTAGCAGCATCTCGACAGCGTTTTGCCCCCCGGACTCCCCGGCCTTGCGGCCCCAGCGAGCACAAGGCAAGGCTGGGCTCCCAAGCAACAGGTGACAGGGAGGCCCCGCAGCAGCCCTCCAGCGGGGTCGCCGTGCCTGCCCCCACGCATCTCTCCGGGGAGGCGGCGATGGGATGGGGCCGAGGAGGGCAGATGGCCGCCCTCCGAGGAGGCAGCCCCACCCCAAAGAGCCGAGCCCGGGAGGAGCCGCGTGGGGGCTGCAGAAGGGAGGTGCCTCGGCCCGCTCTCCCCAGCTGCCCGCCCATGCGGGGAGGGGGAGAGCGAGGCGGCACCTCATCGCAGAGCCCGCCGCGAGGCCTTGGGCACGCTGCTGCACGGGGGCGCCAAGCATGGCGCCAGCAGCCGATGCCTTGCGCTGCAGACCCATCTCTGCTAGCAGAGGAGCAACGGGGAGCTCCGCCAGAACGTGCCCCGCAGGTCCCGGGGTGCGGATGTTTCTGATGCGAAAGGAGGGCGGGGAGCAGGTGGAGAACAACACCTCGACACTCTGAACACCAGGTGGCTGAAGCACGGCCGGCTTCCGGGGGTGGTCGGCGCCTGGAGCGGGGGTGCGGCCAGAGTGGGCCCCTGGAGCCCGATCCAGCGGGTGGCTGCCCCGTGCCAGCAGCCCGTTCGGTCCCCAGCGGCCCTGCTCACTGGGCACAGCCACCCAGGGGTGTGACGCCAGGGCAACCAGGACGGGGCTTGAGGGGGACGGCACGTGCACATGCCCCCCGTTTGCCAAGGACAGAAAGGGGGGTGCGCCATCTCTCTCCCCTGCGTGGGACAGCCCCGCCAGGGGCCCCTTTACGTATGCAAACTATTTCATAAAGCATGCCAGGAACACCTGGGCCTTTGGACTAACAGCCCAGCTCAGCCAAAAGCAACCACCACAATTACCAGAGCAAATATTAGGAGAAGGGCACTTAGAAGCCATGTGGGCAGCAGAAAAACTGGCCAGGTGGGTTTGAGACCCTACAGATGGTGAGGCTATCAAGGGGGCAGGGGCCATTGAGAGTCCCCCCCCCCCCCCCCCCGGCCCTCTCCTGCTCTCCTCTCAGGTGCCGCAATTGCTGGGAATTAAAGGTCTGTCCCTCTAGCAACTTCTCCGAGCCCCCAGAGGCCGAGGCTTGGCTTGTTGATTTAGAGTTGAGCCGCACAGTGAATCCTGCAGGACCGGGAAGCAAACACGGGGCCCAGGGGCTCCATGCCACTGGCGCTCTCCCGCTCCCAAACACCCAGCAGGCCGCTTTCTGCTGGTGACTTGCAAAGCAGCCACGGATTTGGGCGTCCCAGATGACATGGCGGCAGGATAACGGGGCGTGTGCACGCACACACAATCCCACGGTGAGTGGGGGTGGGGGAGAGGGGCCGAGCCTCCCCTGTGAGGCTCCCCAAGGGAGCACCCCATTGGGAAAAGCAGGACCGGCGCAGGCGAGGCTGGCAGCGGTGTTGCGGGTGGGCGGCTGACACATTCGCACGACCGGCGCAGGGGCGAAGAGAGGCTGCTCTGTAGCAGAGGGACTGGCTTCCCCCTGCCCTTCCAATGAAACAACACAAACAAAAATCCCCTTCAGAATAAGGCACGCACGCGCACGCACACACACACACACACGCACGCACAGAGCACGGCTCGCAATGCTGACACCCCTCGAAAACTCTCCGCATCCCGGAGGGGAGAAAGGCGCCCTCGGCGGCCCTCCCCCCCCCCCCCCCCCCCCGGCGCAGGAGCCAGATGGGCGGGCGAGCGGCCTTCGGAGCGTTCGCCACAGATGGGCTGCCTCCGCAGCGGCCTCGCCGGGAACACCCTCCGGGCCAGCGCGGGCGGCGGGGACGGGCAGCGCGGGGGCAGCGCGCCCTTCCCCACGCGAGGCACCCTGCCTCCCCGCGCGGGAGAGTCCGCGCCGCCGGCCCTGAGCGCGGCGGCGGCGGCAGCGCTAAGCCGGTGCCTCCTTCCCGGGAGGGGGAGGGGGAGGGGGAGGCACGCGCGCGCGCGCGCACACACAAGTGCACTTTTCCGGCAAGGCCACCTCCGACCAATTGTCTGCCAAGCGCCCAATCTCCTGGGCAGATGGTGCAAGGGACGGGAGGGCGGGCGGGCGGGGGAGGCTCGCTCGCGCGCCGGAGCCACCCCACCCCTCTTTTCCAGTGTGCCAAACCCCACCCTGGCACGGCCAGCCGAGGAACAGGGATGGATGGAGCGGGCGGGGGGGCCGAGGGCACATGCAAATTGCGGGAGGCACAAGGCGCCCCCCCGCACCCCTTCCGCTTGCAGCGAGCGGAAAGTTTAAACCGGTTCCGATGCGGGTGCGGGGTGGGCCGAGGGACCTGCCCGCTCCAATCGCGGCAGGCAGAACAATGAGGCTGGGGCGGCGCGGCGGAGGCGGCAGGGCTGATCGGCCGGCCGCTCCCGGGCCGGGCCGGGCCGGGCCGGGCCGCCCGCCCGCCCGCCGGGGCCGGGGAGAGGCGAGGGGGTGTGGAGCCCCGGCGGGCGGCGCGGCGGCGTCCTCCGCCTCCTCCGGGCTCGCCTCTGCAGCCGGCGCGGCGCGGAACAATGAGGGCTCGCCTCCCCCGGGCGCCGCTGCCAAGCGGCAGCGGGCTGCGGGCGAGCAAGCGGCTCGGCGGGACAGGCAGCGGCGCGGGCAGGAACCGCCCGGCTGCAGCCCCGCCGCGCGGCAACCTGCGCCCTGCCCAGCGCGCTTCGGAGGACGGCGGCGGGGCGGCCGATGCCCCCGGCAATGCCCTGGCCCCCCCGCGGGCCAGGGAGGGGCGGGGCGCCCTCCTCTCCCCCCGCTGCGCGGAGGCGCGGGACAAGGGGGCGGGCGGAGGCGCGCCAGCCCCGGGAGCAAGTGGAGGCGCGCCAGCCCGCGTGCCCCACGCGAGCGGCGGCGGGCGAGGCCCCCCGGCTGCCTGCGCGGCTGTCCTGCGCCGGCGGGGGGAACGGCTCGCCCGAAATGCGGGGCCACGAGAGGCCGGCGGCGCGGCGTGCGGGGACGCGCGCCGAGCTGCCCCGAGCGAAGGGGAGCCGGGCGGCCGGGCCCGCCGCCTCCCGCCGAGCTCGCGGAAGTGGGACATGCGGGACGGGGGAGGCGAGGCGCGCTCCTCCGGCGGCCGGGCGGGGGCGCAGGGGACCCCTCCTTCCCAGCGCCTGACTCTCTCCGAAATGACCTCACGGAACTGGTCGATTTGGGGTACGGCCCTGGGGGAGCGGAGGGGACTGCTGGCCGGGGGCGGGGCGGATCACCTGCCACACACCCGCGCGCGTGCATACGCGCGTGCACGCGCGCGCGCGCGCGGACCCCTTTGCAGCCCCTCTGCTGCGCCCACCCACATGCCCCCGCAGTGCCCAGGAGGGGGCAGGGGCGCCCAGCCGGAGCCGCGCGTCCTCCTCGCCCAGCGCCGCGGGACGGGCGGCGGCGGCGCTCCTGCGGCGCTGCCAGGCGTGCCCCGGGCATCTCCTTCGCCCCCCCCACCCACGCGCGCCCGCCCGCCCGCCCCCCCCGGGCAATGCAGCGCCGGGGGCCCGGGAAAGAGGGAGGGGGACAGACACGCCACACGGACGGACGGACGGACGGACAGACAGGCGCGGGGCGCACTAACCGTTCCCGTTTTCACCGGCACATACACCACCACTTGAGCCATCTTCGCCGCCGTGGCCGGCGACTCGCGGGTGCCGTTGCCCAGGCGGAAGCCTTTGGAGCGCACCCAGAACTGGAACTTGCCTTTCTCCCCGCCGCCGCCGCCGCCGCCGCCGCCGGCTCCCCCCTGCAGCACCTCCGCGATGCGCTGGTACTTGCTCCGGGTCACCGTCTTGGTCTTGGCCGAGTCGCCGTAGGTGCGCAGGCACCAGTCCCGGAACTGCCGGCCCAGCTCGCTGTCCCCGGGGCGGCTGCCGCCCGCGGACCGCAGCAGCAGCGGCGGCGGCGGCTTCGGCATGGCGGGCGGGCGGGCGGCGGGCGGCGGCGGGCGGGGGAGCCCTGTCCCGGACGAGGCGAGCGAGCGAGCGAGCGAGGAAACGCTTCTGCGCCCTGCCTGGCGCGGCGCGGGCGGGCGGGCGGGCGAGCGAGCGGGCGGGCGTCAGGCAGGCAGGCAGGCAGGCAGGCAGCGAGGAGGGAGGAGCCGCTGGCGAGCAGGGCAGGAGCCGCGCGCGGGCGGGACGAGGCGCACGGAAGCCGGCCGGCCGGCCGGGACAGCGGCGCGCGGGGACGC